CTTATGGGAAAGGGGGCTGCTATAGGTGAAGAATACAGAAGCCAGCTATAGTGCCTGACCATCTGCATTAGGGGTAAACATGACAATGAGGGCTTACAATCACTTTTAAATGATTTAAATATAATTTTAACTTTGTGGTGCTCAGATACAGATCATTTCTGCTTTAACCTCTTGGCTGAACACAAATGTGCGGCCTCCCGGAGTCTGGGCCTAAACGCCGAGCGGCCACACATTTGCATTCTATTAAAAAAACACTTGTGCTGAGAACGAGCCCCCTGCGCACTCCCAGCTGACCCCGAGCCCTCGGGCAGTGCCCGAGTTTCCAAATGGTCAGTCTGCCCCTGATCGTGAACTTTCCCAATCATGTGACCGCCGTGACAGTGAATCTCGGCGGTCACATGACCCTAAACCCCCACCATGCCTCCCGGCTTCTGGAACCCTTAAAGGGCCGGGAGGCGCTGGCGCCAAGGGGTTAACAGGTGCCATAGTACATGTTAATGCATGTGCACAACTTGCACCACAAAAGAATGCTTAACCTCTTCCCGTCCGGCCCATTGCCGATAAACGGCTGGACAGAAGCACTGCTGATGCGGGAGGACGTTTCTTCCCCCACATCCATTGCCTGTGCGTGCTCCCCAGGAGCGAGCAGCACCACGATTTGTGACCTCCGGGCACAGTGGAACACAAATCACTGTACGGGACATCTGTGTGAGGTCCCGACTCATGTGATCACTGATTGATCATCTAGGCTTAAAGTGGAGCTCCACCCAAAAGCTTTTAAGCTTTTGTCCCCCGCTCCCCATTAAGGATTGGCACCTATGGGGAAAGGGGGGGGAATGGGGACCTAAATTTAACAAGTACCCGCTCCCACTTCCGCTGTGATCGCCTAGGCGATTGAAAGCGGAAGTTGTCCTCCTACCCTCCCTCACCGTAGTCTTCTGGGACACGTGACAGGTCCCAGAAGACTATGGGGCCATTCACAAAGCGCAGCACTTCTTACGCATGCGCAGTGGGCACTCGGCTGTGAAACCGCAAGCTGTCACAGCCGGATGCCCACACTGAAGATGCCAGCACCAGGGAGAAATGATGGCCGGTGAAACCAGCAGTGGTGAATACACCACTGGACAGAGGGACAGGTGAGTGTCTGTTTTTTAAAAGTCAGCAGCTACAGTTTTTGTAGCTGCTGAGTTTTATTTTTATTTTTTTTAGGTGGAACTCCGCTTTAAGTCTCTTTGCAATATGTTGGCACTATTTAAATAAAATAAAATAATAAAGCGCTAACCACCACAATAAAGCTACAAAAAAGCCACCAACATAAATTGAGGTGGGAAGGGATTATAAAACAGGTTTAAAAACCACTTGCAAAGCAGTCGTATACCTGGTACATCACTGGAATTCAATTGGTTGTACTGGATACCGTCTTTTTAGAGCCGACAGTCGGACTTCTTGTAATAGAAATCAGAACGGTTAACTAGCCACTTAATTGCTATTACAAGCAGAGGGAGGGGATAGATTTAATGGGATCTCCTGTCCCACCAGTAGTCTTGATTGAGGAGGTGGCGCTGCTGAAGGCTGGTCATGAAGCTGAACAAAGATCAGATCAGCTTTGTTCGGCTCCAATAAATAGTAAACCAGTAGCGATGACCTGACCTCACTTCTGGTTTACTTGAAAATATGCGGCGTCATTTTAAAAAAAAATAAAAGCATTCAGTCACACCGATCTTGGTGTGATTGAATGCTTTTAGGGGCAGATGAGGGATTTTATTGACCCCAGATCCCTCCATAAAGAGTACCTGTCACAGGCCTCTTGTGATCACAAGGGATGTTTTTATTTTTCTTATTTTACACTTTCATTGCTGTCACAAAGAATGTAAAGTGCCCCCATCCTCCCGTTTTTGCACAGGAAGGCAAATGCAAGCATTAGTTTTGCATGCATGCAAACAGTGATTGTCCCACACATGTGAGGTATCACCGCAAACGTCAGATCATGGGCACCAAACCTCTGCTGTAAATCTAAAGAGATAACCTTTAAAGGCTTTGCTTTTAAAACATTGCCTATGGATACGTCGCTTGTCGCCATTGCATTTTTTAAAGCGTGACCTGTTTGGTATCTATTTACTTGGCGTAACTTCATGTTTTATATTTTACAAAAAAATGGGATATGTTTTTGTGTTTTTTTTTTTGCATTCAAATTTTTAAAAAAAAGTGTATTTTTTCCCAAAAAATTGTGTTTGAAAAATGCCCAAATACTGCATGACATACAAAATTGCAAAACCCACCAATTTATTCTCTAGGGCCTCTATATATAATGTGTGGGGGTTCTAAATAACTTTCTAGTTAAAAAACAAAACAAAAACTGATTGTTACATGTAAAGTGCCAGAAAAGGCCTGGTCCTTAAGTGGTTAAAATAAATTCAGGTTTAGATTGTTCTCTCTCTATTTTTTTGATAAATATATTTAACATAAGCATTTTTTGCAGTCCTAAGATTTTAAAATGGACTTCAGTGCATTATAAAACGCGGCTCCTAAAGTAACCTACTAACACCTTGGTCAGCCCCGGGATTAGGAGTTGTCAGTAGAACATGTCTGCGGATACAATGGAGAAATGAAAACGCCCTTACCTCTCAGTACAATACACTGATGCACCAAGGCCATAAACTGCGATCACACACTATCTGAAGAATACAACCAGAGAGGGACTGCGGTTTAATCTGGGACAGCTGCATTCACCCTCAGGTGTTTGCAGCAGGTGTGGATGGAGGCTCCTAACAGCTCCTCACATCTGAAGGATGATATATGATATTCGCAGAGGATATATGAGTAGATTCTTCTCTGTTTAAAGGTACATACAATTGATGTTTTCACCTGAGGTGAATTCCCTTTGATTTTCCGACATCTCATTATTTCTCAGTTGCTATACAGCGGCACGTAGGACACCTAGTTTTGATGGCAACATTTTTTACACCTGTCCTTTAGCAGGAGACAAAAGAATTTTGAAGCTTAATTGAAAACTCCACGTTGTTTTGAAAATGTAATAGAGGATATAAAATTGGTACACAATTTGGTCATTTAGGCTGGCCATACATTATACAATTATCTGCAGATTTTTGGTTTAGATTTACCAAAAACCATATAATAGGAGGACAAACCTAAACAACACTATCAGTAGTATCCAATTAGACAGGCCCTTGCACTACATAGTTGAAGGTAAATCTAAAGGAAATTGGGCAGAAAATCTGCAGATAATTGTATAATGTATGGCCAGCCTTAAAAGACCAAAACTTTTGAAAAAAAAAGTTTTTCTTATACAATTTTGCAAATAAATCTTGGCCAAAATGTATTCAGCTATTTTTTTGTTAAAAAAAAAATAACTCAAAATTAGTTTGATAAAAAAAAATGTATTTAAAAAAATGTTTTTACATCCTTATTTTATTTTTTTATATTATTATTTATGGTTTTTTTTTTGTTGTTTATTTTTTACATACTGTTACCCTAGCAGTACAGTGTCACCATAGTGACACTGTACTACTTGTGTGGGTGATGAAGATTTTTATTTTTTTTACACTGGTTGCTTTTACATTCGCGATCGCAGCGGAAGTGGGAGTGGGTACTTATTTAGATCCCCATTCCCCCCCCCCCTCTCCCCAAAGGTGCCAATCCTTAATGGGGAGTGGGGGACAAAGGCTTAAAGCGGAACTTCCCCTTTTGGGTGGAGCTCCACTTTAAGCCTAAATGGCCGATAGTTCGATTTTCCACAAAGGTGGAATTATGTGCATTATGTAGTCAGAATGGTATTGACTTATAAGAAAATTCTTGGTTGACAAAGGCAAATGTAGCTATGTACCAGCGTAGAAGAGGAAGTGTAGGGTTGTTCTATGCTTCTGATTATGCAATTTTTTTTTACATTTTATTATTTCCGTATGGTAACTGTACACATTAAATGAAAAAATGGACATTGGTGTTCACATACAATAAACATTTTCTAACTTGCACCCTCGGTTTTTGTTATCTGAAAAGTCATGTGTATGGGCCATTATGGAGGCTGCTGAATCACTCAAGAGGAGCTTGGAATATTATGTTACTAAAATAAAAATGAGAGTTTACACAGTGAGGAAAAAATGCAAAATTTAAATACATTTTATTTATATATCCTTTGCAGACTGTTTCCATCAATATGGATGAGTAAACCTATTATGGACTCAGTTAAAACCCCATTTTAAATAATCCACCTATAGATGATTGAGTTAGAGTCTTTGGGGTTGATTTACTAAAGGAAAATAGACTGTGCACTTTGCAAAGTACAGTTACTGCAGAGCTTAGTAAATGAGGTAAAGCTTCACTTTGCAAACAATACCCAATCACATGCAAGGAAAATAAATAAAACAGCATTTTTGGTTGCACCTGTTTGGAAGATGGAAGTCAGCAGAGCTTCTGCCCATTTACTAAGCTCTGAGGCAACTACTCTTGCACAGTGCAAATGGCCTTTGCAAAGTCCACATTCTATTTGTTTGGGTTTTTTTTGTTACCTTGGTGTATGCAATTTGAAGTCATCAGTGTTCCATGCTTACACCCATTTTAAATCTATGACTCCCTTTTCATATATTTTAATTGGTTTGGTGATTGGTTTCATCAGGTATTGTAGCCTCCCTAGCGGTCTGATTATGCCCATATTTCTGTGCTCAAAGCGGTACATTTTTTTGCAGGGAAATATATAGTTTTTTTATTGTAGGCCTGTAATTTTATGAATAACTCACTGAAATCTGTCTGAACAAGAGTCTAGTAAACATTCCGGGTATGTTAAAATTTGAAACACGAAATCATAAATTATAATTTAATAATCATAAAAAATAATAATATAATAATAATTTTAATTCAATAATATAATCAAACCAAAAACACTGAAATTTGAAATATAGCGCCAAGTTCGCACATCACTGAGCAAAGTCGCAAAATCGTTTTCAGTGTCTGATGATGAATTTCCCCACGAATCATTATCACTCAATTCTGCAAGTGGTTCTGATTTACTATCGCTGTTCTCTAGCTGGTCTAAAACCGCATTTGACCTAAAGGGACGCTTTTTGGACGCCATGGACATTTCTCAGTTTCCAGGCAGAAAGAGCAGTAAAAATGCAGGCAGGGCACAGGACAAAGCAGTAGGGACAAAATGTATGTGAAATGGTTTGATACAGTAATGTTTTACTATGTGATTTTAATGTATTTAGTGAATGTCACTTCTACAATTTTCAAATTTCTTGCCAGTTCCGTCCCCGTACGTCCTAACGTCGCAGGGAACGGAACCCGGAAGACAGATGCTGGCATCGGCCGGAGGACATTGCAGGGGACACTGCAGGAAGGACATCATGGGAGTGAAGGACAAGGTAAGTGAAGAAGGGATCCCGGAGCAACGCTGCAAGGTATTCCTGAGTGTATAAATGTGTGAGTTAGCGAGCGCACCATATAAAGCTGCTAATGCACAAAAAGGAACCACAAAGCCTTTCTAGGAATATAACATAAAAATGGGGTGTGCAGCGCTATACAAATATAACACACTGTCATAAATATGACAAAATATGGCAAAAAGTAGAAAAGGTCCTATAAACTGAATAAACAGTTCGAGGTAATATGATATCAGTCCAAATAGGTATATTCCAGTGATGGAGTATATATGACTTCAATCCAAATGGGTATATTCCAGCATCCAGCATCCAGGATTTGGGATATAGGTCCAGACCATCATCTCTGGCAGCCGTCACCCCATTAACCAACAGAGGATACTTTTATCATCAGGCTGTACCTTCACAGGACCTCCGGCTACATGGAATTTCTGTGTGCACATTAAATTGCACTTCCGGTGAGTGGGCAATTTTTCTACACTTTTATGTTAGGATGCTGGAATATACCCATTTGGATTGAAGTCATATATACTCCATCACTGGAATATACCTATTTGGACTGATATCATATTACCTCGGACTGTTTATTCAGTTTATAGGACCTTTTCTACTTTTTTGTCATATTTTGTCATATTTATGACAGTGTGTTATATTTGTATAGCGCTGCACACCCCATTTTTATGTTATATTCCTGAGTGTAGTGTAGCTTGGGGTTACCGCTTGTGTTGCTGAAACTTAACCTGAGCTACACTCGGGAATACCGCCAGGGAGGTTAATGAAAATGTTTTTCAAAACGTATCTGAATAAAGCTTTGCTAATTTTTTCATTGTGTGCTCATCATTACTCGCGACACATCAAGGGTATAAGGACACAAATACCCCTAATAAGCGGTGGGAATGAGAGGAGAGCCAGGACCAGTGAGAGGACTTTGCTAAACCCTCAAGGGGGGACATGCTGTTTGACCTATTATAATTATTCAAGCTTTTGCTAGAATTGTATAACTTTGATTGATCTTATATTTATAGATTTGGTAATGCATGCTTATTGACATTTCAGCAGCGCAACACTTTAATTTTTTGTTTTACTAATAATATGTGACGAACACACGTTATTGGTGATTGCAGTAGCTTAGCACTTTATATTAATATAATATTTTTGTTCTACGCAGGACACAATTAGTGGCAGCGCACAATCATTATTTATTTGTTATGCCATAATATGCTACTATGAAACACATACTAGCAGATTATAATTCAAATGGAGCCGTCCAGTGATGAACTGTCACTGTTCCCAGTGTTTTCATCCTGGTCCTGTCTTCCTTCCAGGTATTTTAAAAATTAAAAACTCAGGAAGTGAGAGTGATAAGCAGCCTCGCCCACACACTCTCACATGAGAAAGTTTATTGTGAATAAAGCCAGCATTACGAGGTGTATGGAAGTGATGTGCAGAAAGTGGATGCGGATTCATATCATGAAGACTGCTGCTCAGGATCAGCAGATTTCCCTGCAGCATGACAACTGATAACCTAATGATCCACTATTGGGATCTCTGAGTTTGGGTATGAGATGTTATGGTTTTTCAGCTAAGTGCATAGGGGTGCATGGTGTGCCAAGTATATTGAGGTAAGTACTCTAGACAGGGCCATTTTTAAGGCAGGGCAGAAGGGGCAGCTGCCCTGGGCCCAATCATTTTTGTGGGGCCAAAGCAGCTGCTCATATTTGCCAATTGTCTTGGTTTACATACTCTTATACCTTGAAGTCTTCCTCCTGTGTTGTGTTCCAATATCTCAGTGTGAAGTGCTGTCACTTATATTGCCCAGCACTGCCCTACTGCAGTGGACAGATGACCCATTACATCATGTCAGCATTCACGTGTAAATAACCAGCAATGATATGGAAGTAGTGACATCATTCACATGTAAATAGTGGTGGCATTCATATGTAAATAGCGGTGGCATTCACACCGCCCCCCCAGCTCCTGAGGTTTCATCCACCATTTTCTCTGCTCGATGCTGCCCAATGGGGAGGTAAACAGGGGCATGCTTGAATGTCCTGCCTGCAACTGTGCTCACTGAACCTACCATTGCATGAGCTGAACATTGAGAATATGGAATGTAGTGTCCTAGATTGTTTGACACCTAGGAAATATCATATATATATATATATATATATATAAACAATATTTGTAGTACTCTTCAAATGAAATGAGAAATAATAACAGCAGAACAGAAAAAACAGAAAATAGACAGTGAAAATTGTAGTGTCTGTCGGGTCCGCCTTTCCTTTTTCCTGGAAGACCTGACCGGCCCCTCCATCCTCCTCTGTGAGTAGTTGGATGTATACAGACTTTTCTGTTTACGCCCGGCTACTTCTGATCGAATCCGATCTGGCAAAAACGTACGGAAGGGGGATCTGTTCCTCTCCGTCTGGTTGGATCAGATTGGAGGGCAATCAAGTGTAAACGGACATCTGGTCTGTATACATCCAACTGCCCTCTGATCCAGCCAGACAAAGTGGAATGAATCCCTGTTCTGTTGTTTTTTGTCAGATCAGATCGGATGAAGCCAGGTGTAAATGGACACAAGTGGCCAATAGGAAGATAGAGATGGATGGGCTGTGTCTGTGTCCACTCTGGAAAAGCGGAGTGGACACCAACCTGTTATCTGGCAGCTCTGCTCAGCTCAGCACAGGATCAGCAAACAGATCCCCTGTTGAACAAAACCAGATCCAGCCCTTGTAAAGTGGGCCTTACATTGGTAGCCAGTGAAAAAATGTCCCCTTGTATTGGTGGTCAGTGTAGGCAGGAGATCAGCTAGCCACTGCTCAAGGAGAACCCTAGGGTTTCACGAAACAGTGGTGGAAAAAGACTGCTCTAGACTGCCCTGTTCCGTACACTGTGCAATACGTTACATACTCCAAACTACTTCACCCTACACATTATACTTAACATTATATATACTCCATAACAGAAATTATTTATACCATTGAGACGGAGAAACTTCACCCCTTGGCACGTTTGATGATAGAAATAAAGAAGAGCACAAATTGTAATACTATACTGCTGCAAGTTTACTACAATGTACATATCCAAAGTCCACAGGTACACACTAAAACGTTATAAATTCACAAATCAAGCCCTGACAACAAATATTTTCTGTTTCCAAAATATGTCTGATTCAAATCCGCTGCTATGCAATTTATTGTTTTTTTTTTTTTAATATCCCAATTTCTCTCATTGTTCTAAAATTCAATTACGTTATACTAGTGATTCTAACTTAATGACAAACCCAACAGCCTCTGTGGGGGAATTAAGGCATTGTGCGAAAATACAAGCACTTGCACGCAAGGGATCATCAGAACATTTTTAGAACATGCTTTAATAGCAAGTCCAATTCCTGAAGACGCTAAGCCTTAGGAACGCTTGGTGTTGTATTTCCCAAATATTTACTAAGCACTTGAAAGAATATTGTATTGGTATTAATAAAATTGTTACATGCAGATGTGGGTTTAATTGCACTATAACTCATATGACAGGGAGGCTTAAGGCTATGGCAAGTATTTTATTATCATAGAACACGTCTGGTTTGCAATGTCTGAATCAGAACAAATACATATTTATCATACAGATAAGATGGACAATGCCAGGAGACGAGATGTCTGCTATTTGGAATCAGAGTGTAACAAGCAGGTACTGGCTGGCAGTGTTTGGCTGCCGGTAAAGGCGATGAAGATAACTTGCCATCCTGCACAGCTGGGGTACTTAACCTTTTTGGCCATGACTCAGATTACAATAAGCAAACATATATTTTCCAAGTAGTAATTCTATTTCTAATGTTATATTTATCTCAAACATTTTTTATATTTTTTTCATATTTTATATGTTGTGTCATCCTTTTAGAATTTGTTTGTAATTTCTAGCCATTTAGAGGGGTGACCATTCTACCAGGGTTGCTATCAACATCCTTACTGGACCACTGTCTTGAAAAATCATCAACAGAACAAGCCTGAAGAGTATTCCATATTCAACATTCAACAGGGACTATCTGAGCATTCCTACACTTAATGTGGTTCTGAAGTCAAAGAGATTTTTACGTTAAAGTGGTTGTAAACCTTTGCATATATCCAGTTAAGTGATAGACCTCAGGTGATACACAGAGATGAGACATATCAGCCTACATACGTTGTACCTGTTTTTTCTACAGCCGTCTTTCCACTCTTAAAAGCAGGGGGCAGGGAGCTGAAGTTACATCAGTAAGAAGAGCTCTGAGAGCTAATTGGAGGGAAGCGACAGATACACAGCACACAGGAACAGAGCTGAGACTGTCAATCACAGGTTGTGCCCTCACCTGACACCATTTTTCTCTTGGTGTCAGGAAAACTCATAAAAAGTGACACACACATTAAACATTGATTCAGTGCTGTGCCAGTCTGCAGCTTTTCTCTTTTCTCTCTCTGCTCTCAGGCTTCACAGAAAGCAGCATAAGCCACTGACTACTGCTGCTGTCAGTTCAATTCTGAGGGGAAGGTGCAGGGGTGGGGCTGAGCTAGACTATGTGTGTCTATGGACACACACAGCCTGGCTCAGGAGTGCTCCCAAACATTGATACATAGCACACAGTTTGCTACGGTGGCACACGTTTAGGAGGAGGAGTGGAGAGCACCAACAGGGAAACCCAGAGGTGAAAATTAGGGTCTTCTCTGTGCAAAACCATTGCACAGAGCTGGTAAGTACATATATATTCTTTTTTTAATTGTTTTTAAACTTGACTTTACAACTGCTTTAATTCAAAGTTTTTTTTAACACATTCAAGAAAAATATATTTTTTTTTACAAATTCTATTAGTCTCTAATGCTTCTATCAGTTTTGAATATGCTGTGCTATAGTGCATCAAAAAAGAGTCATGTGCTTATGTTTGCTACATTGGCAGTGCAATTGCATGTTAATGCACAATGTGAGTGTGCTGTGAAGA